AGTAGTTAGATGCCTCGTTATGAAACAAGGCGTACAGAATGTCTTGATTCTTGTCATATTTAGCACTGCGGTGGCTGAAGTTTCCGGTGCAACACAAAAATTATGCAAACCGAAGCTAAAGCAGCAGCAGGTGTTTTTAGCCACTATTATAAGATATAATAATGAACAACAAGAAGCTAAATTAGGTAAATATTAAATTAAATACCAAACACCATTTAATCAGAACACCCTCCAATGTGGAAATGTCATATAAGTTTAAATCATTATATATGAATCATATAACTTCTGTTTCAAGTACTCAGCGTACAGACATATAAATATATCAACTTAAATAAGAATAAAGGAGCAGTACACTGTAAAAACACAAAATATTACTAAGTATAGTTGGTCTAGTTTCTATTGCCAATATCATAGGACACTTGAAATAAGGCAAAACTAACAAGACTTTCCAGCAACATAAGTTGTTTTTTAGTCAATACTTCCCTTATATTAATAAAAACTAAATTACCTCACTTAGAATATGGTAAAAATGTTGGTATAAGTGAAATAATCCAACAGTGGATCTAGTTCTTTTTCATCAATGTTAGGGAATTATTTAAAACAATCCCTTATATTTTCTGACAACTTATTTGAAAGTTAGTTTTGACTTATTTCAAATGCACTAAGATGTTTGCAAAAGAAACTAGACCAACAATATTTGTAAAATTTTGTTTTTGCAGTGTATGCTTTCAAAGCAGGAGAACACTTTTTTCTGTATTAATATTTTTTTGGCTCATGATTAACTTGTTAAGAGTAATATCACCAAGGAGTCATATTAACAAAAGAGAGAAGATATGCTAACATTAGCATTTCAGCATTGTTTTAAGTCAGTAATTCCTTAATATTGAAGAAAAAGTACTGGTTCCACTTTCAGATTATTTCACTAATAATAAGACATTATTCCCATGTTGTAAGTGGAATAATCTGACTAGCACTTTTTCTTCAATATTAAGGAGTTATTGACTTAAAACAATCTGCTATATCTTACGCAAAGTTACTTGTAGGTTATTTTTGTCTTAGTTCAAGTGTACTGAGGTATTTGGACTAGAAAACAACTTGGTAAGATTGTGTGTTTTGACAGTGTATTTAGATGTATTTGCAGGTAGTTTTTCTTTATAAAATTGAAAGATTATTGTAAGGATGAGAGTTTATTGAATTCAAACTGTAAAACTCCTATTATCCAATCTGATTGCACAAAGAGTGACGTATTTAAAGGATTTACCAATGCTGTTTTGGTGATTATTGCTTTCAACTAATTAAAAGTCAAAATTTAGCTTTGAAGACTACGATATTAAATCAAACCAATGAAGAAATATTATGACATGACAAACCTAAGGGGATTTCAGGAGCCATGTCCTCTGCTGGTGTTTCTCTAGTACTTCCTGTCCACAGTGCTAAAATAGAATAGAAACAGCTTTTATTGTCCCACAAAGGGGAAATTCGGGAGTAAAAGTACCAATTCCTGCTTTACTGCAGTGCAGATGAACTGGAGGCTGCTATTTAAGCAGCCTTGTTTTTTTTTATTATTCCATTTTGGTGCGAAAATAGTTAAAGGTAGAAGAGGAAAGATTAATTTTTCATGTGAAAAAATATATATAATGCTCCACAAATAAGAAAAAAGTCAGAACTATTGTGGCAAGAAGTCTAGTTTAAGTGAGTATATAAATTTGTTAAAGTGTTGAACTTTAACAAATTTATATAGTGGCTATTTTACACTATAATACAGCAGCTGTTTGTTGAGACCTAAATTCTGGTCTGTCTCTTTAATAAAAAGAGTGTTTTGATCCCCCTCCCCTTTTCTACCCTAGCAACGGTTGGAATCACCATGGTAACCAGTGTCCAAGTATTTTTTTTAACTCTGGTTCTGACATGACTCAGCAAGTTATTCTTTCTTGCATGACAGTTATTGATATTAATATTATAGTGATACATACCAATGCTTAGTTATATTTAACAAATAATATTATAATTGGTAAATTAATTTATTTCAATAAACATGTTATATTGTTTATTTACATGCAGACAGGCGTTTTAAAGCTNTTATNTGTGTTAATGATGATGATTTTTAACATTAAAATTAGAATAATACATAAAACCAATAAAAATATATTTTTAACACATAAATATGGACTTAATGAAAAGTAAGTTTAATAGCTGCTTAAAGGTTCACTTCAAGAACGTGCTTTTAATCTGAAAAACGAGCTTCATTTGAACACATCTTCAAATTTTACTGAATATCACTACTTGTCCAAATCGTTAAATAATTCACAAGTGGGTATATAAAATATAATTAGTGGAAGTTGATTTATGTTGGATTGTTGGATTGTTCAAACCTTTTTTTCATCAAATAATAATAGAAACCATTAATTGAGGTTAAATAAAATCCTAAAGTTGTAGAAAGAAAGGTCACTTTTTATTGACCTAATTACTTTAGAGGAGCAGCAAGTATTGGAAAAAGTCATTTTTACTTGGAGATGTATGGATTTTATGACTAAACAAAAATTTTTATGGCAATAATAATTGAAAAATTTGACATTTTTTTCTACAGCGTTTCTCTGTGCTGCTGTTTCATTGTCCCTGATTTATTTCAGCTCAATTCAACCCAGCATCCCCACCCACATGGGGTGTTGTTCTCCTCTCCGTCCTTGGGAGAAGGAGAAGGAGGAGGAGGAACAGGGAGGCATCGCTTTCTATAAATATTTCGTTTTCACCATGCCGGGCTGGATTGAGCCGGTTGAGCCTCGGATGCAGGGACTTCCCAGCTCTGGGGATGAGGTGTAGCTGTGGAGGGCAGAGAGGGAGAGCGTGGACACAGGAGGATGAATCAAACCGTTTCATGGGAAGGAATGCCTCTGTAAACAGAACTTCCTGTCCTGATTGATGTTTGGTGTCAAAAAGTTAAGAAAAAACTTGACCTATTCTGCATTAAACAGGATTTGTACATCACTAATCTGATAATTTTTGGACGCTGCTTCAACTTCTCTTAGTTTTTCTTGGACTGAATTCGTTTCACATAGATCATCTTGAGTTAAATTTCCTGACAGCAGGGAGGCTTAGAAGTGTTCGGTTTTCGAAGCAGGTCCAGAAAAAAAAGAAAAACTTCATCGCTGAGTGACAGTGAGAGGAAGAGAGCGTCTCTTGGTGGGGGTGTGAAAGCTTTCGGTGCGAGCCAGTGGGTGTTGTCTGGGCGTAGAGAGGGGACGGGGCGGGCCAGGACTCGGTGGCCATGCTTGGTGCTACGTGGTCGGCCTGGTTTTTCCCCACGTTGCCTTCCCTGCACGGCGTAATGAATGGCTTCCTACTGGTCTGTGGCCGTGGCCCCAGCATAAAGAGTATACTTACCAAGGCCCAGAATACACACCCCAGCAGGCCGGCCAGCCAGCCAGCCTGTGTCCTTTCCTCTGAACACTCCCAACCACCGGTCCACCTGCTGCAGACTGGCGCAGTTTCTGTTTCACAGCGCTGGTTGAAGTGGGAAGCATTTCCTTTAAAGCACAAGTGGTTTTCTTCTTCTATCTACAGCCTTACAGGGGACTTCTGCAATGCTTTGTTCACTGCAAAAACACATTTGTTGAGAGGGAGAACAGCAATAGGTCAGGGGTGTCAGTCGATCGCGATCGGGAAGGTTTTGAGTTCAGGAGACTCCGCAGGACGCAGAGACGAGAACGTCTTCTTCTGACGCGCTTATCAGAATATTCAGTGATAAAAAATCCAAAACGCTATGTGTCAAAATTCCCAGAATTTTGTAGCTGACAGCCATCTTGGTAGTTACTGTAACCGTCACTACAGTTGCTAGGGAGTTGCTATGACAACAATAAACAAGTCATAAGCTTAGAACTAACTCACACCTCGTTCCTGTCTAACTTCTAAACAATATAAGTGCATAATAAATATTACTTGATTACAATTTAAGTACTCTGTCCACCTCTGTGTAACACTAAGATATCAGATATTATATTGACAAACTAGCAAAATTAGCTTAGCTGACGTAGCTTTTATCTGCAGGTTAAGATGAACATGAAGCCTACATGTTTGCTACTACATGTGCTTACTCTGCCGGTCATCAGAACCTCCTTATTCACACCAAGAGTTCATACATCCTTTACAAATCACTGACTGTATGCGTCCATGGATTTCGGGCTGCGGAGCTAATGCATACAGGTGTTTAAATTAGCTAATGTCAAAATTGAACTAATTACTTAAAACTCTGATCCAGAACCGCACAGCATTCTGGGAGATGAAGACAGAGGAAAGACTTTAGCTGCTCAACCTCACAGCCAGCTAGTCTAGCTGGGTAGCATGAACTAACTCACTCACTCTTTGGTTACCTAGCAACTCACTCACTCTTGGGTTACCTAGCAACAACTTACTATAGCAGCAGTTTAAGATTTTGCCACTGTGGCTTAAAAAATAAACAATGGTGTGAAGTGAAAATTGTAGATCAGACCACAACAGCCTTGTGGTATTTCAGATATTTAAAATAAAAAACTAATCAACAATTATTGATATCGACTGATATGAAACGCTTACATTGTGATACGTTTCTCAGCTGTATTGTCCAGAAATGAATGGATGGGTGGGTGGGTGGGTAGGTAGGTAGGTAGGTATAAAGGTAGATGATAAATATTGCTAGATATATAAAGAAAGGCAGAAAGATATGTAGAAACAAACTAACTTTATTAACCCTTTTTGGATTTTCCCTCAGGAATTTTGTCTTTTCTGTCTTACATATACATCAAAACCTTTAAACATCAAATTAAAAAAATATTAACACCCCAATCCTACAGCTTCTCTGTTCTTGTTGTACTCCCGTTAGCATATCAGTTAATCGATAAAACTGATTTATTTCTCAGCTCTAGTTTGGTCTGTGGCGGCAGAGCTTTGCGGGTTCTGACAGTTCCTGTTCTGAACCTGGATCAGCCTTCTGCTGACCCGTCCTGTGTGTTTGTCTGTGTGTGCAGGTGCTGTTTCTGCTGCGCTCCTTCCAGGCCGACTCGCACAGACCCCTGCCAGCAGGAAGTGGCATCGGAGAGGCCCTCCGTCAGCGCATGTGGCTGGCTTCTAGGTAATCCTAGACACACGCGTGCACACGTGTGGGAAACGATGCAGCGATAAGCATCCACTCTCCTCCTCCAGAAGAAAAAGCTCCTTGTTTGTCGTACATCCCCTGGCCGGCCGCGTCTGCTTCATGTCCTGTTGAGGTTTATGTTTCAAAGAGGCCGCCCGCTGACCCGACTGCAGACCTTTCCACCCGGCCGCCCCTCCACCAAAGAGCCTCTCAATGTGGGGCGCGGTCGGCCCGGTTGAGGTCAGGCCCAGGTCTCTGGTCGATAACACGCTACTAGCTTCACTTGGTTACTCTGATGAGGCTTTATTAAGATGACGAGGTGAATTCCTGCTGCCTAGAGCGTGCCAAGGCGCCGGCCCGTTTGATCGGGTCTGAGGACATCGCAGGTCAAAGTGTCTCTGTTTTTGAAAAAGGAAAAAAACCTCTCTGCTCGTCCAGAACACCACTAATTTGAGGAAGGCCGGCTTCCAGAAAGGATGGAATGCATTGTTGGTCTGGTCTGAGTCAGTGCTGGGCTCTGGACTCACACCGTCTCAGGCTCGTGTCAGGTTGGAGGTTTTTCTGTCTCCAGGATGCTGTCATCCTGTGGTGACTATCATATTTAAACATCTGAGTCGTTTGGATTTCTGTCTGATGATTCAGCCCTCCGGAGCGTTTACTTTGTGCATCATTGTGAAACAGTTACTGGAGCCTAACGGATGAAGGCTTTTCAACTGCCAGTATTAATACTGATACTGCATGGGTTAAAACCACAGTTCTGGTTAAAACCAGAAACAAACACGTAGAAGCAGCATGCAGCTTCTATGCACCACTAATCTGAAACAAACTTCTAGAAAACTGCAAAAGAGCTGAAACACTGAGTTTCTTTAAATCAGGGGCATCAAACTCATTTTAATTTTTTTAATCAAAAATCTGAATGTTTTTAAAGTGCCGGTTGTGGCAGAATGTATTGATAAAACCCATTAAACTGCTAAAATATTAATAAGTGTTTCTTAAAATTAAATAATCTCTGACCAGTCCCCTGATTGTTCTTGTGTTTTTTGCAATCAAAATCGTAGATTTTGTGGTGCTAATTAGAAATATTTGTAAGGGATTTTGCGCTAATGTTTGATGTTGAATGTGACTTTTTATTAGTCGATCACAGACTGTAACTTCACATAAATAAACCTGAGGCAGGAGTCAGTTAATCCCAATGTTTTTGACCAATTTTGAGAAAGATTTCCACTAAAATCAGAATAAATGTGGGAATTCTGATGCTTTATGAAAAACTGGAGGGACTTATTGATGTAATTTGGAGTCTAAAGGGCCACATAAACAGCTACGGCGGGCCAGATTTGGCCCCTGAGCCTTAAGTTTGACTAAAACCCAACTGCTTACCCTTCGACTCATAAGAACTGGAACATTGACCAACATATTCAACTTTATTGATTTTAAAGATGCCACTTTCTTTCACAATTGATGTTTTACTATATTATAATTTTTTTATGGTGTAAAGTACTTTGAACTGCCTTGTTGCTGAAATGTGCTTTACAATTAGACTTGATTGATTCATTAAAATAGGAGCTGCAGATCTCCTCCTGTTTGTGGATTTTCTGTAGATTATGTCTAAGATATTTGGAGAAAATGCAGTGAAACACTAAGGCACAATGCTGATGGTTGGCATTTGCAAACTAGCCTCTCCAGGAGCGCCTTTTATTTTCATTTGTGAGATGTGGTTCAGCTCCCATATTTAAAACACACTGACCAGGTTTCAACCAACACATTTTAATTAGCATTTAGAAGAATCACATCGGAACAGGTTGAAAAATTCAGAAAAAGTTCCTCAGTTTTGCAAAAGAGTTTTAACTCAGGTGGTTTTTGTTATTAAGTATCAATGAAGAAGAGATGGAAACACATTTCCAGTGTAAACTCTGACAGAGCGAACCAGCTGGATTCACTTCAAACCAGTGGATGGAAAAATGCCTAATTCACTTTTTTTTTGCAATACTTTGAAAGTTTGCTCACAGTTTGCATAAAAATTGCGTGGAAACACAGATCAAGCTGTGTCATCGCAGCACCAGCGTTCTGCCCAACATCTTTTAAAAGCTTCATGTGCCATCATTGCTGATTGCCGATACTTTAAAATAACTCAAAATGAATCTGACCTCCAGTTTGAACTTCCTCCCAGAGCTCATGCGTCTGTTTTGTCTCGTGTTGTGTGTGAAGCATGCAGACGGCGGTGCGGTATTAATATCCGGCTGATGACATCATGACGTCAAGCTGACACACTGTATTCTTTGTAGCAGAGCGACCTGGCCTCATTCCTGAAGATCCGCTCTGAACTATCCACACACAAATATCAACAATGAAAATATACATCATGATTTTAGGTTTAAGTGGAACTCGATAAGCTTCGCCGTGAAGTGGTTATTTAGTGATTTAATGGAAAAAAGGTGGATTTAGTCCTGGATCAGCTTGGGGCGGCTCATGAGACACTCGAACTCTTTTGCCCTTAAGAAATAAAAGTCCATCTTCGTCCCTTTCCGTCTCTTGTCCTGAAATCTTTGGACCCAGTGACAACAGTAACTTTTTTGTCCGGGTCACTGCACTTAAATAACCCGATTATGACCAAGTGGAGCCAACACTTGAGATTATCACTGTTTCCATGTCAAGATAAGGATGTTTGGAGAATTTTGTCCATTTAAAGAGCTTTGTTCGTTTAATTTCTTTATTTAATCAGAGCTGGAGGAGAGATTAGAGCCAATTGAGACAACAGTCGTCCGAGTGTCAAACTCAAGGCCCAGGGGCCAAATCTGGTCTGCCGTGGCTTTTTATGTGGCCCTCTAGACTCCATCAATAAGTCCCTCCAGTTTTACACAAATAAGCAAAATCTACACAATGATTTTACTGCTAATTTTTCTCAAAATTGGTCAAAAACATTGGGTTTCAGTGATTGTTGCCTCAGCCTTACTTAAAGTCACATTTAACATCATACATTAGCTCAAATACTGCTAAATTAGCGAAATATGCCGATTAATAAAAAGTCACATTAGACATAATGCATTAGTGCAAAATTCCTTACAGTTCCTAAAATCTTGCAAAAAAAACACAAAAGCAATAAAGGGACTGGTCAGTGATTATTTAACTTTAAGAAACACGTATTGGATGCTGAAACAAATGTCTATTCATTAATATTTTAACAGTTTTATGGGTTTTATCAATACATCCTGGCTCAACCGGCCCTTTAAGAACATTCAGATTTTTGATGTGGAGCAAAATGAAACCCCTGATTTCGGTTGTTAGTGAAAAGGAGACACAGTGTTGTGAAACATGATGTTCTAATTAATTCATTTTGTCTGTAATTTCCGCTTTCTGTTGGTAATCACAGCAACATACCGGCCTGATCTAGCTCTTCATTTGAAGTGTAAAAACAGATGCTGCTTTTCTGTGAAATATCATAAAATTCTAGAGTTTGGCTTTTTTTAGGCAATGGAAAAGGAGAATAAATTCTGTTTATTGTTTGCAAATTGCTCTCCAAACCAATCTGACTCTCCGTGGTCTCTTAAATCTTGAATGAATCACATTTACTGCAAAGATGTTAAATTTCACCAGAAACAGTCAGGTCAGATTACTGTCAGACGTCTGTAGAAGCCAGACGTTTTTCACTTCGGTCTCACTGTGCTGATGGAAATGGTTAAAAAGACGCCATGTTGTTCTCTTTCTGCCACACCTGGAACGTCTACACCAACTTAGAAATTGTTTCTAAGCATATATCTTACCGGACACAGCCTCTCGTTTTGCCTTAGTTTCCAATGTTTTCAGTAGGAGTAATAAACTCGGTGTTTAGATTCAGATCCAATCCATGTTGGGCTGCTGTGGCCATTTTGCCATTACCTTGTACCAGGTACTCTTCATTGATGTTATAGTTATAATTATACATGTTATTTGCCGTTATTATTTCTCTGTTGTATTTTTCTCTTTCTGGAGGTGTAGAAGCAGACTTCAGGGTGTTTTTGTTTTATTTTTGACCACCTTTTTCACCTCTACTCTTCTCTCTTTTCCCCTACCTTTCTCCCTTTCTTTTCTGTCCCTGTGTCCACTACACTTGAAATAAACTTAAAGCAATCTCTAATAAAATTTGATATATATATATATATATATATATATATTTGAACCTCATTGTGGCATTCAGACAACATTTCTGAGTACCGACCTGCCGATGGGCCACTTAAAAACATAAGTGTCCCATCCAGCTAAATCTGTATCTGCAAAGATCAGCTAGCTTAAATGCTAATGTTAGCATGTCTTCTCTCTTTTGCTAATATGACTCCTTGAAAATATGATTTCCTGACAGATAAAACAATTGCAGGAAAATTTGTTGTCCTGCTTCATAAACTTCATTCTTTACTTTGAACGTTGTAACATTTATCTACTGGTGTTTCAGCTGCTCTCTGTGAGCTCTTTTAGTTGCACCTAGAGCTGTTTGGGAATATCTTAGGCTGAGATTTATTTTATTTTATATCTGAAGCCAGCAGAAAACAAAAAAAATGACACACGCAGTCAGAAAGCTGCAGCAGCCCATAGAGTCGTGTTAAATGAAAGCTGTGCGCACAAAAATAGGCCACGATTGTTGGAGATTGTGCAGTTGTACAATATGCAAACCTGCATATAATCTAAACATATCTGCCTCCTCATTAGAACACTGAAAACATTCTGTTCATTTTAAAAGGAGAAAAAGTAATGATACATCACTTATAAATTATGTTATCCAACAGAGGCACCAAATACACAGGACGATCAAGAGTCCCAACATTTAAAAGATTTATTGAGTAGCAAATGTACAGTGACCCAGTTCAGTAGTTGGCCATGAGATGCGAGCCTTTTTCAGAAGAAAATCTTCATCTGCGATCTTAATGGAAACCAGATGATCGAGGCTGGAGGCTGCTTTATTATCTGTCTGAATCAATAGTTGGGTCTGGAACACTCAGGCAGTCTTCTCCGTAATAAAAGAGATCCTTCATCCAAAACAGTTTGTGTTTTTCCTCCCAACACATTCAAAAGCGCATTCAGTCTCTCAAAGCTGATTTTCATCAACTTTTTATTGGCAGATCAAATGCAGAGCTGTGTGTTTGTCTCATTTTCAGGCTGAATTCCTGTTTGGTGACCAGAGGAGCCTTTTTAGACGTGATGGTGTGTCTTTGTGGGTCAAAGGTCAGCATTCTGGAAGGTAAGTTGTGTTTTGGTAAAAACACACATTATCCACATGCAACTCATCTTGGGTCTACTCTGTCAGAACCCATTGTATTGACTCAGGGAATTGAGATTGTGTATAAAGCCTGGTTCACAAAATTGTTGACCGATTTTCAAAGTGTGAGAGACAATAAAACATCTTGGGTGTAACAGGTTTGGTCGTGCAGAGTGTGTTGTCGAGCCACGCGGCAAAGACAACAGACCACACACGAAATGATTTCACTCAGATTTCAGATGGGAAATCTCGCAAAGCCTCTTGAGACTAAATGTGATTTCAGAGTAAACAAACATGGCCGACGAGGAAGAAACAATGGCAATAGTTATATTTAACAATGAAAAATGTAAACAAAGACTTCTACAACGTCCGCTGGACTTTCAGGTGTTTATAGCGTTTATTCTCAATTCCCCTCAGTGTTTTCATCACTTAGCTGTCTGATTGGCTACACGTCACATGCAACAGGCTGCACACATTACAATATCCCAGATATTAGATTGGAGCGGCCCCAATGTCCATCCGAGCGAACCAGATTATTCTTAACACATGGCAGGAATTTCTCCTAAAATCACCTTACGAGCCGTTTTGATAATTGGAGTGTCCTTAAGTTTGTCAGATGGGAAAATCAGGACAAAAATCATCATAAAAATCTTGCCGTGTGAATTAGGCATAAGCAGTTTCTGAAATCCTCATACTTGTCTGTTAGACTCCAACAACTATGTCTCACCATGTCTATAGATGTGTAAATACATTGAGATCCTTCAGTGTGATCAGCTGATTCACCATTTCCTTTACATGTTTTTGATTTGTTTCTTTCCCCCGCAATTGAAGTTTTCTTTAGCTGTGTATTTATTAGATAAAGTATCTTGCAAAGACTGTAGAGTCAAAAAAAAGAAAAGAAATCCTGTTCGGCACCTCAAAAACAGAATATTTCAAGAGGATCTATTATGCAAAAATTTACAATTTACATGTTTTTATACTTCCATTTCTAGAAACAACCCACAACGGGGGTTTTTGGGGAATAATGATAATGAGCTGTTTCAAAAACTTCCAGAATGTAACAGGCACTGCACCGTTACCTAGCAACCCCAGTCGAGCCCAGCCCTGTTCCCTAGCACCCCAAGCTTAGTTCCAGAACGTTTGGGCAGCTGGTTTTACCGCTGAATGCCTGTATAAGGAATGCTGGAAAAGACAAGAGTTTAGTTATTGACTTGCCTTTCAGAAAAGATGTTTGTGTAATGTTCAAAGAAGGTTGTATAATTACACATCTGTTTGCAGCCATTGTACCGTGTCAGTGTAAACTTTGAGTTGGGTGGCGTGGCCAGCAGCAGCTTATTTGGATTGAAAGATTTAAAACAGCTCATTCTGAAAAGAGCTCAAAATAGAGACTAAAATCTCATTATCTAAGAATGATTTTGTGCAAAATGAACATGTTTTGTGTAGCCCATAGACCAGTCCTCACCATTGGTCTATGGGCCAAGCATAAGGGTTGGATTTAAGGTAGTTTCCACTCTTTTAGGCTTGACTGAGAAGAACATGTTATTTCTGTTGCTGAGCGGTTCTTAACCTGATCATTTACGCTCTGTGATCTCTCCATTCGCAATGAATTTCACTCTAAATTTGCTGCTTCCTTCTTGTTGAGAGCCAAAACCTTCCCAACGGGCTGGGTAAAGCCCCACGTCTGCGCCTGTGTGTCCGGCTGTGTGCGCTCGCCAAACTCTGGGGGTCCCTGCTGCGAAGGAATGTGAAACCAAAGGCGAGCGTATCGTCTGACAGATGGCGGGTTTGGGCTTATGACCCAGTTTATGGAGGACTGGGTACGGCGGAGGGAGGGAGGCTCGTGTTTTTTGGTCGGCCATGTGCCGAGCACATGTTCCGTCTTGACAGTCGAAGCAGAGAGGAATTCTGGAAATGAGGATGAAAACTCTTCCTGGCTCGTTTGGTTCTGCTCCTTACATAAGAGAGACCTGATAGGACCTGGTTTCCACTGATGCCTCTGTCCTGTTAAATATCCCAAAGCAGTTCTCAGAGGTTTCATCTGTTGTTCTTTTTTCGCTTTATAAAGCTACGTTTAATTTCTTTATGGATTTGCTGCTTTGTTTAGGATAATTTTCTGTGCCAATTTTGTCTTACTTTTGTCAAACTTCAGTTTTCAGAATGTTGGACAGATATTTGACTCTAGACAGTTTTCTTACTCTGAGTTATATGGTATGTTTTAGTTTGTTTTATAACTTGGTGAGTTTATCTTCTGTTGCGTATGAATGAAAATAAGTTTTATATCTTTTGTCTTTTTGAAAATGCTAGCCATTAGCATCTATATGGTTTTTAAGTAAACATTAGCATTTAGCTAGCACTCTGATTTTTATGTAAAATAAGTCGTATTTCAGTGTTTTTTTCTTATTAATCTATTGGTAGCTTTAACATCTAAAGAAGGGAATTTGAAGGTTCATTCCCACTGGCCATTTTCAGTCGATTTAGTCAAACTCTGGTTTGTTTGTCTAGAAAGTCTGGTTTATTTGGGGAATGTGAATATGTAATCTATCTCTGACCAAAAATGTGATCTCTGGTCTCCCTACAAACCTCTGTCTCGGTTCGGTTGACGTAAACTGGTGCTGTTCGAATGCATATGTGAACGCAAAGTGGACCAGAGAAAGTGTACTAAAGCGCAGGGCATTCTGTGTAAATACAAACAAAACAAACATGAGTCCAGCCCTAGCAAGAGAAATGCTCCATCCGCTAAAATCTGACACGCTCCTTTTTTTTTTTGACATTTTGTGAAGAAAGAAGTTGTGCTGATTTCATCAGAGGTTATCATGTTGTTTCCTCCTGTAGTTCTTGGTGCAGCGCCCCCACAGGCGAGGAGGGGAACAGATTTTTCCAACGGTTTGGTTCATTTGACCCAGTCCTGTGTGGGAAAAAAACCAAAACACATTCACCAAAAATGTAACAAATGTGACAATTTTGGTTCCCAGTGAAACATAAAGCTGTGAGAACATCCTTAAAGGTTCAGCTCTGACACTTTTGGAAGTTATTGTTCAAAGAACATTTCATCACAAAATAAAAAAAACAAATAAACAATTACAGACAATGCTGCACGTCTTATTCATGAATCTGTCGTACAACAGTCTTCAGTCAGAGGCTTCTTCAGAGCCTCTGTAATACAGACTGCTACAGAAGATCCTTCCTTCTGACAGCCATCATAATCTGCATAAACTTTTTGAAAAATCTTGAACAATATGAGTTTCAACACCATTTAATTTCCCTCTTTGCTAACTGAGGCCTGCAGAGTCAGAGGTGAAGTTCTTGGGTTTTCTCTGAGCTTTGCACTTCTGATCCTGGGCTGAATTTGCTGGAACTTCTGGAAAGATTGGAAACTGTCTTTCCAATATTTTGCATTTGTAAGTAATCTATCTCTCTAGATGAATGGAGTTAAATTTGTTTGGTAATATATTTAGAGACTGATTGCTACATTCCTCCTTAAATCCTCAAATGAAGATTTGGTTGAAAACAACTAAGTCTGTGATTTGTGCAGATACTTGCAGTTTTATTTTCTTTTTATTGCACTGTCTTCACAATATCAGCCATAAGAACCCACATATTCCAGTACAAGCAGTAGAGACGTTGTATTAGCTGTAGTTAAAAAAAAAAAAACAGTCTGGAACTAATTATAAAATATTAAAAATGTAGATAAATTCCATCAATCTGTAAGAACAGCCGGTTTAAAGAGATAAAGGTGAACTTGACAGAAGCGAGTCCTTAAATCTAAATTACCAGCAGTGGAGTGGGATTTAATATGTAAAAGACGGATTGTTCCAGAGTCTGGGAGCAGCTGGGGAAGTTCATATAAAAGCAGCAGGATCTTAGGAGTGCCTGGCACCGAGGTCGGAGAGGTGAACAATCCTCTTTTTCAATATGACTTCTTTTTATTCCCCCTCTAACTGGCTCCTTGTGTTGAAGTAGGAACTTTGCATTTAACAGCCAGTTCTTCTGGAGTCTGAACACAGGTCTCTGTGCGCTGCTCTTTCATCCATGCAGACTCATTTAAAAAAAAAAATCCCCTGCCGTCTATTGCTTCATCTCTACCTCTGCCAATCTATCCTTTCTTTGCTTTCCAGAGACACCAGTAAAATAAGCTGAAAGGTTTGCTTTGAGGGGAAAAAGAGAGGAAGAATTGGGACAAAAAAAAATAAAAAAACCATATAAAAACTCGATGAAGTTGGCTGAAATGCATCATTCCAAGACCATGTCAATAAATGAAGAAGGCTTCATTGTAGACTCTTCTGTTTGTGCTAAATTGTTGCAACTATTCTGAAAGCAAATAACTCTCAGAAAGAGATTAAAGCAGTGCCTGCCACGTCCTGGATTAAAGGTGCCATTAGTTTCCACATTTAACATATAATAGGCATCCAGAATCAATTACCCCACGGTGCTTTTCCATCTGCATTAGGTAATAACACCCTGAATGAATCCCTAAGACCTTTTCCCGTCACTGAGAGTGTGCAACATGTGAGTTTTATCCAAACAGGCCTGGAGGAAAAAAATTAAAAAAAAGTATCCAAAGACAGCTTTCAACTTCGCTTTTCCATAATTAGTCTTCCAGTAAAATTAGAGCGTACGATTGATGTTCCTTCCTGACAGCTTGGTAAGCCATCTAGATCCAAATGTGGATGCTTGCACCCATTTCAAATTAAGACGTACTTCTTCTTTCAAGAGGGATTACGCTCAAACCGCTGGAATCCAGCGTCAGGATGGATAAACGTATTCCCAAGTCTGCAGGTTGCACCCTCTTGGAGCAGCGTTTACGTCTGTAGTGATAATTAACAACACAACACTTTGTAAGACAAACAAGTCTGGCTCAAATGAAAATATATGCAATCCAGTTCGGTCCTGTTTCAATTAAAACCAGTCCAATTCATTCAAATACAGTCAGATGCCGATCCAGTTACGTACTCTTCTATGCAATTCTAAGATGCAGTTTGCAA